TGCTCACACTGGCGTGAAACTCCCTGAAGGTAAGGGAGACTGGCAGAATGCAATTCCCCATCACTTGTGGTGGGACATGATCAGCAGGTGCTGGAGCCAGCCTCAGGGGCAGGTCTCCGGCCAAAAAGAGGGGCCCTGCAGCAGCACAGGGGAGCCCCGGGCTAGGCACAGCCTCAGATAAATGCCACCTACTAAGCCACTGCTCACACTGGCGTGAAACTCCCTGAAGGTAACAGACGTGAGGATCCGTTCCTCTAGCCCTGCATAGGGGGGGGGGGGGGGTGAGAGGTTGGGCCAGAGGGGACACGGTGCGAGTGTGTCTGCAGCACATTTTAGGTCCAAAGACAGTGGTGGGGAAGCAGCTGTAAGTTAGAGCAGCCCCAGGGGCAACTCTGATCTCGGACTGGGTCACAGCAGGTGCTACCACCTCCCGCTCCTTTTGGGCTGCACCTTTTCCAATGCCCCTTCCTTTTCCTCCATTCATCTCTGCATGAGCAACTACACGCATCCCCACCCCTAGAACTGTACAGCCGCAGGATGGGCAGAACCCGGCCAGTGACAGCTAGTGCATGGAGCGAGGACAGGGCAGTGAGGGCAGCCATCTCAGTGGCGACTGTCTGATTTACAGGCTAAAATAGCTGTCTAGGATTAAAGGGTCCCACACACTCCGAGGCCGAGCCCGCACAGACATGCACACACAGGGGGCATCTCTACAAACCCTCCAGTAAGCCAAAGAATTCATGACGATCCAATAATTAGCCACTCGTAACAGTTTGCACCTCATTCTCTTTGTAAATTGCACGGCAAACGCCCATTGTAACATACCCCGGGCACAGCAATGCTGAACTCTGGCACAGTGTTTCCCTGTCCCTCGCTCCAGGGCACATCACAAAAGCTGGTCAGTATCGTTCTGTTTGGAAGCTGGGCAAACAGAGGTGAGGAGAGATGATGTGAGCAGCCCAAGGTCATCCAGTGAGTCAGTGGCGGGAAAGAAGCCAGGTTTCCTGACTCTCTGTCTGAGGCCCTACCCCATTAATTGAACTGAAACGCAAAGTGGGGGAGGTGGAAAAGATTTCCTGAGGCATCTACTCTCTCCAGCACTATCGCAAGATCATCCCTTATATGAAGTCCAGGGAGTTTTCCTTAATGCATAAACGTAATAAGAAAAATGGCCCTTTGTGTGACTCCACCCTCATCCAGCTCAGGCTCAGGCATGGCCTCTTTATTTAAACAACAACAAACACCTTGTACTGGAAAGAGTTGTAAGGTCAGGCTGTGTCTCACCCAAATAAAACAACACTTTAAAGTTGTGGCACTTTAAAAGACTAACAGATTGACAACTCACTTCCTCGGGTGCGGAAGAGAAAAAGACAGGAAGAGAGACGAGGACAAAAACAAGACAGAGATGGGACTGTGACGTCAGTGCTAATTAAATCAGAATGGATGTGGCTCATCTCCGCCCGTGGTGAGAAGGCGAGGGTACCTGGATGTGTTTGTTTAGAGCTGGTTCAGGGTGTCAAATTTGCACGTGAAATCCAGCTCGGCAGTTTCTCTCGGCAGTCTACCTTTGCCGGGTTTCTGTCTGAGAATGACACCTTGCAAGTCCAAAACGGTGTGTCCAGAGAGGTTAAAGTGCTCCCCACAGCCTTTGGCATGTTGGCATGTTGTGTGTTGGCTTTCAATGTCTGATTGGTGTCCAGTTATTCTTCTGCATAAAGACAAAGTCCCGGTGTGTGCGCTGTATATGGCAGAGGGGCGTTGCTGGCCCATGATGGCCTATATTACATTAGTAGATGTGCAGGTGAAGGAGCCTTTGATGGTACCGCTGATGTGGTTAGGTCCTGTGAGGGTGTCACTCGGGTAGCCAGACTTGGCAATGGGGGTTGTCGCAGGGATCAGTCCTGGTTATTGTTTCTGTTGTGGGGTGTGAAGTTGGTGGTGAGTCATTCTGCAGCATAACTCCCTCTTACCAGATCCCTCCCTTTCTATTTTATGAGAAACAATCAAATTCCAGGCACATCCCATTGTCCTGGCACAACTAAACCCTGCCCTGGCTTTAAGTAACGAGAAGAGGGAGCTGCCTACTGAATTTGATGGTCTAGCTCAGTGGTTCTCAAACCTTTTGGGCTCCGGAGCCCTTTACATGCGTAAAAATATATACGGAGCCCCAGCGGTCCACTGATTGTATGTGTTTGACCTATCGATGTTTCCAGTTTGTCAACCTCGCAGAACCCCTGGGATGTCCAGTGCTCCGCGGAGCACAGTTTGAGAAACACGGATCTAGCTCTTACTGTTTAGGAATTCTTGAACACACGGACTCACAGAAGGCTGGACGGACAGACAGACAGACAGACAGACAGACGCACTAAGATTTATTAGTCACGTGAAAGCTGCAATTCTCACGTAATCACAAATGTTGGGGGAGCTGGAGCTTGAATAAAACAGCAAATGCCTATTGGAGAGGCCAGGCGCTCCAGGGAACCCCAATGATTCCTGTTAACATTGTTAGTTAATTATTCTTGGTTCTGAACTCCCATATTCTGGGCATTGTGGAAGGTCAGTTCTTAGGAAGCCGGCAGGCACATGACCAGCTCCTGCCCTCCGTTCCTTCTCTTCT